CTCTCTGGGGGGTGATTTCTCGCTTTCTGTCTCTATGTCTCTCTCTGTCTGTCTGGCAAGTGCACGTGCCCTGTAGTAAAAACCTCTCCAAAAAAATAAATAAATAAATAAATAAATAAATAAATAATGTTCATAATTTTAAAACTCCCCCAAAATAAATCATCAGACATACATGGTTTCACTGGAAAATTTTACCAAATGTTTAAAGAATGATCTGTACTAAGTCTACACAATCTCTTACATAATACAAAAGAAAAAAATACTTCCAAGTTCATTTTACTAAACCAGTACACTAAAGAGCACCAAAGATAGATAGATAAATAAGTAAATAAGTAAATAAATAAATAAATAAATAAATACACTGGAATATCTGGGGCCAGCAGGGTATGGTGGTTAAAGTGTTGGACTCTGACATTGTTGACCATTGTTCGAATACCAGACCCAGTGGTTTGAAAATCATATCAGATTCATATGTGTAGGTGCCCAAAATCCTGAGGGGAGAATGAAAGAGAAAAGGTTGTGATGTGGCCATCTCTGCCCTAAGGGACTAATTTCTCACTTTATCTCTCTCTGTGCAAAAAATTTTAAACAAAAACAAATAGAAAATAGATCCATATTTCTCATAAATCTAAATATAAAAATCCTGAATAAAATATTAGATAAATAAGGTATTAAGTAGAATTCAAAAAATATATTTAAAATTTTATCCTATGACAAGTGGAATTTATCCCACTGACACAATGCTAGTTCAGTATTAAATTTTAAGCAACATAATCGGCTATATTAACAGGCTAAAGAAGGAAAATTGCATAAACATATTTATTGATGCAGAAAAACCATTTGACAAAATTCAACACCCATTCATGTTAAAAACTCTCAGAAAAATAGAAATAGAGAACTTCTTCAACTTGATAAAGAAAATTTATCAAGAAAAAAAATGCAGCTATTATTTTACTTAAAGGTGAAAACTTTCCATCTTTTTCCCCAAGATGGAAAATTTGGCCAAGATTTCCATTCTCTTCACTTTATTAAACAAATAATTGTAAATTCTAGATGGTGCTATAAGAAAGAAAATAAAAGGCATAAACTGAAAAAGAAGAAATAAAACTGTCACTGTTTGCAGAGAGAAGGAAAGTTTGCATAGAACCTGTGATATCGAGAAAATACTCTTAGAGCTAAGTGAGTCCAGCCAAATTATACAAGATAAACATACCAAACTAAGTATATTTCTACATTGTAGCAATAAACATATGGACACCAAAATTAAAAACACAGGGGACAGTAGGCTGCATGGGGGTTGAGGCACTAGAGTCCCACATTAGAATGTGCTCAAGTCCCAGACCTGGTGGCTTGCTTTCCTTTTTTCTCTCTTTCTTTCTTTCTTCTTGTCTCTCTCTCTCATTGTCTCCCTTGTGAGCATAT